GTCGTGGGGCTTCGTGCCGGGATCTCTAGTGCCTCTAGTTGGTTGCCCTAGTTTGCATATGATTACGCCATAAAAGCCCTGAGTAACTGCAGTAAGTGTTACTTTCTTACTTGAAACCTTCATGCCCTCAAACGCCTGTTACCCCCCGGGAGCCTTTCCTGAGTGGTAGGGAGTGGCCCGGGTGGCACTGCCTTTCGCTAGATCAGAGGGTAGACCTAGGGGGGCACCGTGACCCGCCCAGGTGACGCAGGGAGCTGTGACAGGATTAGAGCTCAGGGTTCCTGAGTCCCAGCGCACTGTTCTGTCTTCCAGGGCACTTCTCTTAGGAGTATAGATCGCTGCCGTGTACTGAACATCCGGTAGGTGCCAGGCCCATACGTGATCTCCAATCCTCACAGTTCTGTAGAGTTTACAGAGAAAGACAGAGACTGAGAGAAGCTAAATAAGCAGGCCAGAGGCATTCAGCTAGTTGTTGCAGAATCCAGATGGAGCCCAGGGCTGTCAGAGCATGCGCCCTGTGTTCTTCCTGCGTCTAGAGGGCTTGTGAAAGCTCCGGGGAACTTGTAGCAAGGAGAAAATCTGCTTGCTTGCCCTTGCCATCCCTTCCTCCATCTGATAGCAGATAAGTCGTTCCCCCGTGCTCCATGCCGAGCGCAGCGCTGGGCGCTGGGAAGCAAGAGACAAGAGGCCCTGTGTTCTGTTCTGTTCTTTTTTTTTTTTAAGATTTTATTTATTTATTAGAGAGAGAGAGACAGCGAGAGAGGGAACACAAGCAGGAGGAGTGGGAGAGGGAGAAGCAGGCTTCCCGCGGAGCAGGGAGCCCGATGCGGGGCTCGATCCCGGGACCCTGGGATCATGACCTGAGCCGAAGGCAGACGCTTAACGACTGAGCCACCCAGGAGCCTCTAGAGTGAGATTCTTTTAAGATAGTGTTATAGACCGTGATGTCCTGGACCAGTAGTTGGAAACTATCGATCAAAGTTGTGTATATTTGGAGAGGACTGATGGTCCCTTAACACTTAGTGAAAGGTTCTCCTAAACTTAAATCTGATCAGTTATAGTCTGTTAAATTTAGGCTGTGTTATTACTCCAGTTCAACCAACTGTATCTTGCTCAAAATCTAGCTTACTGCCTTTCCTTCCTTTCTCTTTGTTTTACATAAGAGAAGGAACTTTAAAGCCAATAACCATAATTGCTGTTCTTTAGTAGTTTTTATACAGATTTTTTTGTTTGTTTCAACTAAAGAAATAGCAAAGAGGGTGATGGTGACAGTAGTTGAGGCCTCAGGACTGGCAGTACACTGTTGTTTAGGATAAGCTTTGTTTTTTTAAGATTTTATTTATTAGAGAGAGAGAGACAGAGCACGAGTGGGTGGATGGGTGGAGCGGCAGAGGGAGAGGGCGAAGCAGGCTCCCCGCCGAGGAGGGAGCCCGATGCGGGGCTCGATCCAGGGACTCCAGGATCATGACCTGAGCCGAAGGCAGACGCTCAACGACTGAGCCACCCAGGCGCCCCAAGGCCCTGTGTTCTTTTTTTTTTTAAAGATTTTATTTATTTGACAGAGAGAGAGACAGCGAGAGAGAGAACACAAGCAGGGGGAGCGGGAGAGGGAGAAGCAGGCTCCCCGCAGAGCAGGGAGCCCAATGCGGGGCTCGATCCCAGGACTCTGGATCATGACCTGAGCTGAAGGCAGATGCTTAATGACCGAGCCACCCAGGTGCCCCAAGGCCCTGTGTTCTTAAGGCTCCCCCCCATTCCCCGTTCTCTCTCTCTCTGTCTTTAGCATCCCTTCCATTGCCACGTTTGCCAGTGTGGACAGCACTGTGCGCTAGGGTCCCCTGTCTTTCCCTCTCGGCCACGTGAGGACTAGGTACGCGGGACCCGTGTCCCATCCAACTGGGTCTGTGTGTGGCGCCCGCAGGGCCCTCCCATGCCCCCTCCAGGAAGTCACACCAAATGAGGACTCAGAGCATCCTGGCCAGTTACCACGTGCTGGAGGCCTTCCCCTCCTCATCCCAGCCACTTCCTGTGGCACAGCTCTTCTCTTGTCCCCCGTTACAAAAAAACAAAACAAAAACACAACTAGCTCAAAGAATAGGCAGCTTGCCTATGAATGTCATCTAGTGCCCGGTGAGGCCAGGTTTGGGCTCGGGCAGCGCTGCAGTGTCCCAGGCACTTGGGGAGCAGGCCCGACCTCCCCCACACAGGCCGCGGTCACGCCGAATGGCTGTGTCGGCACTAGGAAGTATTGGGGAACAACAGAAAGAGGCTTTTAACTACAAGTCCTGCTTGCTTGGTAAGTTTTCCTGTCTTCTTAAAAGGGGTGGTACCTGTATTTTTGACAGTTAAAAACAATCCTCTCCCCAGAAGTGAATTAAATAAAATGAAATTGATATTTTCACTGAAATACAGGACAAACACGCCAGAAATCACAAAGAATCTTTACAAGTTCAAGTTCTTGAAAGTAGGAAGACAAATGCCAGTGATTTCACGCTGGGCCAGGAGAGCCCAGTGGCTGCCTGCTCAGACACCTAAAATGGACAGTTCCAGATCAGCCAGGATCTGCGATTGTTCAGCAGCTGTTTTTTGAACATTTGCTGGCTGTAGAGCATGGGGAACAGAAAGGAGACAAAGATACAGTTCTGATGTGCAGGGAGTCCACAGTCTGACAGACGAGACTGATACACAGAGAATCCCACTGTAGTGGGTGCGACATAACGGCGACGCACGGGGCCCGTGGAAGCCAATCTGTTGACAGGTCTGGGGCACACACAAGAGGCATTCTGGGGAGAGTGCTGGCTTCCGTGTGTCACGTACAAAAGTGTGATCTAGGCCCCAAAATGTTGTCATATCAGGGAGATTTTGATGGTTTATGTAGATGATGGGGGGAGCATGTTGCAGACAAGTCCTGCCCTGGCAAATAAGCAATATATGGTATCAGATATCTCCGTAACCTCTCAAGCTTTGCTTACCACCACTGGAGGAGGTGAAATCTTTTTGCGGGGTTTTAATGTCCCACAGATTCTGGGGTATTAAACCCCTCTTGTTCATCTTTGTACCCCAAACCCGATACTAATAGGGACTCCAGAGATATTTGTTAAACCCGAGAGCTGGATCTTATGCATGAGGCCTGGGGGGGATAGGACAGGAGCCTGCATGGGCAGGAAGCCTTCGGTGGACAGGCGAATTCACAGAGGCCTGGTCCCTCCCCTCACGGCCTCCGTATGGCACTTCTTGAGCCTGTAGAACCCTGGAGAGAGAGTACAGAAATCCCTGCTTCAGTGATTAGTAGTCATTTCCTGTATGCTTCCTTTTGAAAACTACAGTCTTATTCCAGGAAGGCTTTTAAGACAGGTGAGCATCTACTAGGTCCTAGGCGTGTCTACAAATAGCTCACCTCTTTTGCCTCAAATGACTTGTCTTCACTTTACCACAGAGCCAGTATGCCCAGCCAAGAATAGGGCATGTCCGTCCTCTGGCTTCCGGGAGGGTTCCAGGGCGGCCCCAGCAGCTGCTCCTCAGCTGAGTTGCTGGTGGCCTGGGGTGATGGCTTGCGTGGTACGATAGGACCTGTAACCCTCAGGTACTTCACACCCATGCAACAGCCACATTTTTCCATTCCTGAAGGACGTCATCTTTGGAAACCCCTTCCTGTGGTATTTCCAAGGAGTTTAAGGGCATAACAGAGGACTAAGGCCCTGAGAGGCCACCCCGCACACTTCTCTGGGCAGGTCGTGTTGTTTGCAGTCATGGGTCTGTGTGTGTCTGTGTCTCTGTGCTTCCCATTTGTTCTCCTGGCAGAGGCGGCCTAGAGTTTCTAAGGTAAAGGCCCTGTTTGTGACCCTTAATTGGTTATGAATTTTTTATTCCTATTAGGCAAGTCTCCTAGCCTTCTCTTCCTCAATTTACACAATCCCCTTCCCTTATTTAGTAAAACAGATGTAGGGCTTGCAATTCCGTAAGATTCAGAATAAACCATGTGGCAGGAGCATCCTTATTAAACTTTATTATATCCAAGGGTTGCTACGATGCATGCGAACCTAGTAGGTTGAAAACCAACATCCCTGATCTGTGGGTGCCGTAGGAAAAAAGAAATGCTAATGGAATGGATGATTTGGTACAGCGGATCAGTAGGAGGTAAAATACCTCGCAACCTGAGAGTTTCCTGTTACACAGGACTCCGGACAGGAAGTCTCCCACCACCCTGAGCCTTTCTAGCAACACAGGGTAGCAGCACAGTGTAGACTGGGGACTAGCATTCTCAGCACTGCCTGCGAGCATGTTAGAAACCCAGCACCTCAGACCCCACCCCAGACCTGCCACCTGGACTCTGCATTTTAACAAGATCTCCCAGGGATTCTTGTGTACATTCAGATCCGAGAAGTACTAGATCAGAAAGCATGAGTTCTGCACTTTCTGCCTCAGTGAGCAAACCCCCGGGGGCTAGAGTCATTTATTCTATGCCTAGAATAGACTCATCTGCCCATAGTATTTCCTGGGGGGTGAGAGCAGGATTCTGTTTTTAGCGGTGGCATTTTCTACTTATGACCTGACCTTCACTTTCCCAAAATGATTTGAGTTGGTTTCCAACATACATCGAGTAGGATGAAATAAATAAAGGAGGAAAATTTTATTATAAAACTGGGTTATAATTGCATACATAAATGTTTGCCACAAAGTCCTCAGCAGTTGCTAGTTGTACTAACCATTTATCCCTGAGCTCCATAGTGATAAAAACAAAAAAGAAAATACAATTATTAGCAGGTCTGTGTCCAGTACAGCTTTTCTCAGCAAGGTCTGATGGGAATTTCTTTTTTTTTTTTTTTTTTAAAGATTTTATTTATTTTTTGACAGAGAGAGAGAGACAGCGAGAGAGGGAACACAAGCAGGGGGAGTGGGAGAGGGAGAAGCAGGCTTCCCGCCAAGCAGGGAGCCCGATGCGGGGCTCGATCCCAGGACCCTGGGATCATAACCTGAGCCGAAGGCAGACGCTTAACAACTGAGCCACCCAGATGCCCCTGATGGGAATTTCTTAAGTGGGTCACCGTTAAGTGGCCGGCACCATCCACACTTACGTAACAAGTACAATAGTGCATTTCACGAGATTTTTTTTTTCTTACAATATCCCTTCAAAGCAAAGAGCTGTTTTATAAAAGTACCTCTATAAGGAGAGAGCTTTTCTGGCTCTTGCTGCTTCATCAGATGCTAACTTGGCATTTAAACCTGCTGTGTAACTAACCTGCCTTCCCCTCACCATAATCCGCCCCCTCCACTCCCTTCCCTAGTCTACTGCTGACTTGTTTCTGTCTGGACCTCCTTTATGAAACACAGAGCAACCAGGGAATAAGCAAAGGTGACATCGGGGTGGTCGGGCCCTTGTCATATGGCCTGTGGCAGTGGCAAGCCCCACAGCTGAGGCTTTGAATGGCCAATGAAAGACAAGTATCACCCTTGTCCTCAACCCGCCCCGCTCCCCAGTTTATGCCATTGATACTAAAGGGACATGGGAAATCAGGTGGCAAAACCATGTTTTTTGTTAAGTATCTCGAAGGTAATTAAGTATTTTTTCTTGTTTTGCTTTGTTTAAGCTAGGTGTGTAGTGTTTCTCAGACTTTCTGATCATCTTGAGCTTGGGTCTTCCCTGTGTATTTTACTTAGTATCTGTCGGAAGTGTGATACTCCACACACTCAGTCTCCAAGAATACGATGGTTTTCCTACCAAATTACAGAGAAAAGGTGTCTAAAAAGTGTCAAGGCAAGTTTAAACATTCTCAGAGAGTGATCTCTCCATTTGTCTGGCAGACCCAGAGACGTGGAACAGAATGAAAAGCAGAGCCTCTGTGGGTCCCCTCTTCTCTTTTCTGGCTGTTTTGGATCGTACTGTCCTCCTCAGGATTTCCACTGAGCGGCCTTGTCCTCAGCCATCCCCACATCACTGAGGGCGCCAAGAACTAAGGCGTTACCTTAGTGGGGCACCACTATGGGGTTCCAGGGGCCATGAGATGTGAGCCTTCTCTCTCATAGCTGCCTTCTGGACCTTACAGGAGATCCTTTTCGCCTGCTCAGGAGGTGAAGTGGTAAAACAGCTCCCCACTAGGCTAGCGTGAGTGATTTCAAGGGTAGTGTTTCTCTCGTCTCTCTGAGCTCTTAGTCCATTGTTTCCCCTTAAGGATAGTAAAAACTTTGAGGAAAAGAAGCAAAGTCCTTCCTGGAAGACAAATTATAAATGTATGTAACCTCTGTGTAATGCTTTTTTTTTTAAAGTTCAGAATCCTTCTTAGGGGGAAAAAATGGACATGACCGTACCTTCCTCATAGAGTGGCACCCTGTCACCATCCAGACCCTTCGTCACTGAAATCCTCCTTTACAGATACATTCATTGTGTATTTAGTGATGCTTTTATTCATGCCAAGAGAGGTTCATAATAAATACAGAACAAAGGCCTCTTTTCACTAATCTTACACATAAGCATAAAAACACCTGAAAGCAACATTTAAGGGCATCTCTAAATTGTAGTAATAGAAGCTAGCATGTACGGAGCCCTTGTGAGGTGCCAGGCATGTTCACGACACTTTAAATCTGTATCTCATCTAATTGTCGGTGGGCCCATAAGGAAAGCATTTTCTTCTCTCACGGGTAAGGCCGTTGAGGCTCAGAAAAGTAACTTACCTAAGGTCACATGGCAAGCTAGCGTCAGAACTGCTCTTCCAGTTTACCTCAGACTCCAAAGCCTATGGCTGCCTCCCCGGGATCCCACTTATTTCCTGTGGGTAAGAGCGTTGGAGCAGACCCACCAAGAGGAGACGAGAAGCACAGTATCAGCGTGCCCGCCACCGTGGCAGGCGGAGCAGAGCCGGACAGCTGTAGAGAGAGAAGTTAAACTTCACCTCTTCCAAAAGCCAGTAGGCTAACCTTGCCACCCCGTTAGGTGGCTGCCAGCTTGATCACGAGACAGGGAAAGGACATGATGTAATTACGAAGCGCCCCCCCGGCCGCCTCTTTTGCCCGCTGGCTTCGGCCGCGGGTACGGGAGTGCAGCCTGGCCGGAGGCAAACGGGGGTCCCGAGCCCCGAGGGGAGCTTGTGTGTGGAGACCCAGAGAGACCCCAGTGGGGACAGTCCCTCCACAGGTCAGCCTGCAGGGTGGCACCGAGGGGCTGCGGAAGGCCGTGCCTGTTTCTCATGAATGTTCGGTAGGGTCTCGCACTGCTGCCGCCTGCATCTCTTCGGAAAGGCGGGAAGACCGGCTTCTGGCTCCGCACTGGCCAAGCGCAGAGGCCGCCCGCGCGCGGTGGTCACCTTCTCGTTTCTGATTTCCAGGCAGCCTCGGAACCCGTCCTGGACCTGCAGCAAATCCAGGCCTTTGATCAGCTTTGCCGTCTCTACCGAGGAAGCTCCCGGGTAATGTTTTTGGGGCGGCTCGCATTTTATTTCCCACTTTATAACCACTGTTTGGGAAGGGTGGCGTCCTCCGGCCCTCACCCCAGCCGCCGCCTCAGTTTGGAGCCCTGGCCCCGGGGAGCCCTCAGGATTAGCGGAGGACACGGAGGAGGTGGCCAGAGCTCCGTCCCGGCCGTGTGTGTACTAATGACGGCCCCATCTGCGCCGGCCGAGCGCGTTTGGCCATGAACACAACCGCTGAATGACGGGTACCCAAGACAGACGTGGGAACGTGGGCCGCCGGGGCGCCTGCCCGGAGCCTGTCTCCGGCGTCCTCCTCTCTCCTGGCGTCCTTGGCTCGGGGCGCCCACTCGCGTGGTTTAGCAGGGCTGCTCCGGCTTCCCCGTCACCACTGCGCACCGGCTGGCAAGGTGGAGGAAAAGGAGAGCAGGAGGAAATAAACTATGTCCAGACGGTTCTAGAAGGTGTAGATCTCATTTCTGTTGTCCAGAACGTAGGTGCCCGACTGCACCTGACTGCAGCGGACACTGGGCAAATGGGTCTTTATTGCCGAGGGCCAGGGGCTGAAATGACTGGGACCCGTCCGGAACCGTAGAAGAGGACGGCCCGGGAGAGCTGCTAGCGGACCTGCCCCCGCGTCCGTCTGCGCGCCCCCCAGGCACGTCCCAAGGGTGCCCGATAACTTCCTCCACCTGTTCTTCCTCACCTGCTGCCTGGGCACCCCAGCCAGTCACCCAGAGCAGAAGCCTGGCGGCACCCCTCTGCTCCCCAGGGAACCCCCAGAGGCATCTTCTCTGTACCTCCTGTGGATTTCTCCCCTTTCCCTCCAAACGGTCACTCAGAGGCCACTGCAGGTCTTCTGTCCCTGCTGCCTGGGGACTCGCTCCAAACCCCAGTGTCTGGTCACCCCCTTATTAAAACTCTTTCCTGCCTCTCATCCCTGGAAGGTGGAGTCCAAACTACCTACCACCTTCTCCACGTCCCAAGTCCTACCTAGACTCCAGCCGGGCCCGATTTGTTCTCGGCGCTCCGCTTAAGCTCGCACACACCGTGTGTGGCTCTGCTTCTGTGCCTGGACTCCCTGGCCCCCTCCCTGCTCTTCTGCAAATACCTGCTGGGGGGGGGGAGGGGCGGTAGCCCCGAGGAAAAGCGGTGTTCCCTCTTGGAGAGTCGGTTTTTATTCCAGGAAGCTTCCCCAGGGGTCTCCGGAATGGGGCCCAGCGGCTTTGCTGAGTTCTCAGCCTCAGCCAGGCTCTGCCCCATGAGTTGGCTTTCTGAGCCTCCTAAGGAAGCTCTGCTTCAAACTGTGGAGCCATTATTCACTATTCCTTGATTTCTAGATCACAAAGTTACAGAAGTAGAACACAGATCTTCTCTTAGGAAATAGAAAATATTTTTTCAGTTGATCTTTCTAAACCTCACAGTGTCTGAATGTGGAAGAACTTTGAGTTTATGTACCATCTGTTGCCTGTTCTGTTCCTAGTCTTCTACAGAATTGTTCTTAGGGAGAACTTCACAGGCTGATGGGCAGCTGAGAGGGTTAGAGAGGATGAGAAGTGGCAAAGATGGGGCTCTGTGGACCAAGGGACATGTGTCTCCCCAGGCCGGGCCCTCAGTGCGAGTCCCGGCAGGACGACTTGAGCTGTGCGTCCATGGCCAGCTGAGTAACTCGCAGGTGGGGCTCCTGAGCCAGTGTCGTCGGCTGCGCCCTAGAGCGTCACTGGGGCCGGAGTGCTTTAGATAAGTGGGCACTTTGAACTGAGAGGCCCGTCTGCTGTGTCTCCAGTTCCCACAATCACTGGTAGTGAGTTTTCCACAGAAGTGACGAATGGATACACGTGGCCCTTGCGTCGTCACTGCCTGGATGGAGAGAGAACCCCTTACCGGCTAGATCAGCAGAGGACAGAGTTCCTGGCAGGGTGGGTGAGTAGGAACGGGTGCCAGACCAGGGAAGGCAGGACCATAGGTGGCTCGGCTAAGCAGAAATTGCCACGTGGACCTGAGGTTGAGTCCCGCACTACCACTCAGCACTGAGTGACTTAGGACACGTTAACTCTGAGAACTCTGCGTTTTGTACGCAGAGGCTTCTTGTGGAAGGTTAGAAACCATACACACGTAGAGGACGTAGCATAGCGCACTTGTTGCAGTGACCTTGCACTAGTAGAAGTTCCTGCGGACGTGGGGTCCGGAGCCTGACCCAGACCTGCCGGCCCTGCCATGGCTTACGGCTCCCTCCTCACAGCTGAAGTGGGGGCTGGACAGGTTACACAGGAGACGTCAGAGCCAGGGATCGTAAATCCGGGGTCATTGCCCTGGGATCCAGAGCCAGTTTTATACTTCCCTGTGGCGTAGCCCCGTCCCTTGTGTATCCGAGGCAGGGGGATCAAGGCTCCTCCACCTCTGTTCCACACACCTTGGCTGATGGGTGTCCCTTCTTTTGCAGCTGGCTCTCCTCACAGAGCTCTCCCAGAATCGCAGCAGTGAGAGCTACAGGCCATTCAGTGGCTCCCAGAGTGGCCCTGCTTTCAACAGCGTCTTCCAGAATGAGAATTTCCAGCTGCAGCTCATTCCCCCACCTGTGACTGAGGACTGAGGCCTCTTGGGGGGCCTGGCACTGGAGACCAGACATGATCCTGATGCAGTCAGGGAGGGACCCGTCTCTAACTGGCTTGGCCCCTCCGCCTGCCCCCTTCTGAGCCGAGGTGGATGTCCGTGCCCGGGCCTTTCTCCACGCCCGTCATCCCCCGGGGAGACTCCCTGTCTCTCCCAGGATGTTGCAGCAGCATCAGTTCACCGACCAGTTGATTTTGTTTGCTTATTCAGCAAAGGAATGTCTCATACTTCCATCCAGCTTTTTAAGAACATATGCTTTGCCCTTTGGGACTTTTTTCAGTTTCCCTGAAGCTTTGAGAATAGATGGGACTTGGGCAGATGGCATTCAGGAGTCTGTCCTACTTGGTCCCCTCCAGCTGCTGGGTAACATGGAGGAACTCGAGCTCTTGCTGCTGTCAGGAAGACAGAACAGTGGTGGGCCAGGCAGCAGGAGAACTGAAAGCAAACACCTGGGGGCAGGGCATCGCCCTTTTGATGCGTTTACGTGAAAACCCATTTGAGTGTAAGCTTTGCCCTAACAATAAATGCCTCTCTGTTTAAGTTCTGCAGGCCTGCTGGCCAGCTCTCAGTCTGTCCAGTCATGAGGGACATTTAGAGCCCTTGTTGCCACAATTCAGTTTTTTGGGGTTTTTTGTTGTTTTTTAAGATTTTTTTTTATTTATTTGACACAGGGAACACAGCAGGGGGAGTGGGAGAGGGAGAAGCAGGCTTCCCGCGGAGCAGGGAGCCCGACGCGGGGCTCGATCCCAGGGCCCTGGGATCATGACCTGAGCCAAAGGTAGATGCCCAATGACTGAGCCACCCAGGCTCCCCCACAATTTAGTTTCATTAGTTCAAATTCAACCCTCTTTTACAGAAAAAAAGAAGCTGAGACTCACATGATGAATAATTTAACCAAGGCAGCACACACCTGAAATGGCAGGGGGGCTTGTCAGTTAAGTATCCAACTCTTGACTTCCGCTCAGGTCGTGATCTCAGGGTCGTGAGATCGAGCCCCACATGGGGCTCCGTGCTGAGCATGGAATCTGTTTAAGATTCTCTTTCTCCCTCGCTCTGCCCCTTCCTCCCCGCCCCCCCAGCTCTTAGTGCTTGCTCGCTCTCCCTCAAAAAAGAAAAATGGCAGAACAAAGTTGAGTTCAAGATGGCAGTGTGACAAGATCCTGAACCCGTCTCCTCCCAGGGACACAACAAATCAACAACTACATACGGAATAATTCCCTCTGAAAGGGAACTGAAAATGGAACGAAGAGAGCCTCCACAACAAAGCCTGAAAGGACAACATCAAGCTGGGAAAGAGGCAAAGACACGGACTTGCCAGGGGACAACATCAGCCATGGGGAAGCACAAGTGTGTATGGAACTCTTCCCTGAGGAGTGAGGCATTTGAGCTGCACATCAAATACACCGCAAACCTTAGATCCTCCACAGGAGATCAGGAGAGATGAGCCCCCAAAACACTAGGTTTTGAAAATCAGTGGGGCTATGTCCAGAAAAACAGTAAATAATGGAAAACCCACTCTTAAAGAGCTGAGGCACAGACTGTACCCAGAAACCAGTGCAAAAACACCAATTTAAAAAGCACGTAGACTAAGTAAAGAGACCCATTTATTAACCTTAAAGCATCTGCCAAAGAGGAAACAGCAGATTTCCCCTGGGGGCTGAGATACTGGTGGGCCATTTTGGAATTCTCCGTCTAATCTGCTAGCCCCAGAGAAGTTACACCCCACTGACAGCCCCACCCAAACACACTGCAGTAGGCCTGACACCCCCAGAGTACCAGGGCCATGGCCCAGCCCAGTAGGAGGGGGCACACAGCTCACGTAGGGGACCAAAGGAGATTGTCCTTCTGCATCCCACAGGACACCTACAAAAGGCCACTTCTTCAACATTGAGAGAGGTCACTGACTCACCTAATACTTAGAAACGTGGAGAGTTAGGCAAAATTAGGGGATAGAAGAATAGCTCCAAACAAAAGCACAAGACCTCAGGAAAAGAACTAAATGAAACAGATTTGCAAACTACCTGATAAAATGGTCATAAGGATGCTCACCAAACTCGGGAGAAGAATGGATGAGCACAGAACTTCAACAAGGAGAATATATAAGAAAGTACCAAACAGAAGTTATAACTAAACTAAAAAATACACTAGAGGGGTTCCACAAGAGACTGAAGTAGAAGAACAGATCAATGAGCTGGATGAGGAGGAGCAATGGAACTCACCCAGACAAAGCAACAAAATGAAGAAAATTTTTAAAAGAGTGAAAATACCTTAAGGGACCTTTGGGTCTTATCAAGCAGAATAGAATTCACATTACATAGATCCCAGAGGAAGAAAAAAAGGGCCAAAAAAATTATTTGAAGAAATAGTGGCTGAAAACTAATCTGGGAAAGGAATCAGACATCCAGGTCCAGGATAAACCAAAGAAAACCACACCAACACACATTATAATTAAAATGGTAGAAACTAGGGGCACCTGGGTGGCTCAGTCAGTCAAGCGTCTACCTTTGGCTCAGGTCATGATTCCGGGGTCCTAGGATGAAGCCCCACATGGGGGTCCCTGCTCAGCAGTGAGTCTGCTTCTCTCTCCCTTTGCTCCTCCACTCCCCCCACCGCTTATGTTCTCTCTCTTTTAAATAAATGACTAAAATCTTTTTAAAAAATGGTAGAAATTAAAGAGAGAATCAGGAGCAGCAGGAGGAAAAACAACTTGTGATATATAAAGAAAACCCCATAAAGCTATCAGATTTTTCAGCAGAAACTTTACTGACCAGGAGGAAATGGCATGACATATTCGAAGTTCAAAAAGGAAAAAACTTCCAACCAAGAATTCTCTGCCCAGCAAGATTACCATTCAGAATTTAAGGAGCGATTAGGAGATTGAGAGATTTTGCTTTCCAGATAAGCAAAAGCTAAAGGAGTTCATCACCACTAAACCAGCCCTACAGTAAGTGTTTTAAAGGGATTTATTTAAGCTGAAAAGAAATGGCACTAATAAGGAAGCATATTAAAGCAAAAATCTCACTGGAAAGCAGTGCCTGGCTAGCTCAGTCAGAATAGCGTGCAACTCTTGATCTTGAGGTTATGAGTTCAAGCCCCACACTGGGTGTAGAGAAAATATTTTTTAAAAATCTCACTGGAAAAATACAACAAACCTAGTGGATCAATCACAAGGCAAGCATGAAGGTTAAAAGACAAAAGTAGTAAAATTAAGGAAGGTGGTCCAAGATGGCAGCAGAGAACGACCCTAAACTCACCTCCTCCCACTGACACGATTTATATACACCTACGTAGAGAGCAGTTCCTTCAAAAAAACTGAGGGCTGATTGAACAGCCCAACAAACAGTAGAGGGACCACATAGAGAAGACTAGGAGAGATGGAGACATGGTAACCATGGGAACACCCCCCCCCAGTGCGATAGAGAGGGAGGTCACTGAGGGTCCCAGTCCAGACTCCCCTACCCTGAGGCACAGTAAAAACAACAGTGGCTTAAAGGCTAATTAGATTATAAGCGAAGCAAATCCATTTACTAACCTTAGGGCAGCCACCAAACTGGCAGGGAACTGCTGGAACTCTCCAGGGTAACAGGCATGGTCCATGCCATTTTTTACACTCGCCCTCCACCTTGATAGCATAGGCAGGAGCAGGGTCCAGGCGCTCACACCAGCCTGTTAGGACTGCCCCAGCACACCCTGGACCCCTGGCCCACACCAGCTCCAGCCATCCCCCTCAAGATCGCTCTGGCGCAGTGCACTCTGAGACTACCCCCTCCACTCCCAGCATCCACCCAACCCAGTCATCCCACCAATACAGCCCCAGTGCAGCACACCCAGGGATTCCCTCCCAGCCCATGCCCACTGTCCTGCAAAGGCCCCAGGACTCCTCTGGTCTTTGCACATTCCAGCCATCTCACCAGGGTGGCCCTGGCATGGTGTACCCCAGGACCCCCAGCCTGCTCCAGCTCCAGCCAGCCTGCCAGGGCAGCTCTGGCATTGTGCACCCAGGGACTGCCCCCAGGGTGGCCCTGACAAGGCACACCCTAGCTCCCCCAGCCCAGGCCCACTTCAAATCCAGCTGTCCCATCAAGGTGGCCCTAGCGTGGTGCACCCAAGGACGCCCTGGCATGTGCTCACTCCAGCTATAACCACTGTGCCAAGGCAGCCCTGACATGGAGTGAGTGCCCTGAGATACCCCTCCACCCCAGCCCACAACTGCTTAGCTCCCACCAGCCTGCCAAAGCTTCCAGTCAGTCACACACAGTCTCCACAGGAAATGCTCCTACACGAGGCCACTCCTTCCCGACCAGGACAGGTAAGTGTTCCTCCTAATTTATAGAAACAAACAGAAAATCAAAATAAAATGAGACAGAGAAATCTGTTTCAAACAAAAGAACAAGATAAAAACCCCAGGAAAAAAATCATAATGAAATAGAGGTAATTCATCTGACAAAGAGTTCAAAGTAATGGTCATAAAAATGCTCATTGAAATTGGGAGAAGAATGGAGGAACACAGGGAAAACTATAACAGAGATAATATAAGAACCAATCAGAGCTGATGATTACAATAATTCAAATGAAAAATACACTAGAGGGAGTGAACAGTAGATAAGATGATGCAGATCAGCAATCAAAGAGAGAATAGGGGAAATCACCAGAACAGGGAAAAGACACAAGAATTTTGTAAAAGTGAGGATATTTAAGGGGTCTCTAGGAAAACATCAAGTACAATAACATTCACATTATAGAGGTCCCAGAAAGAGCAGAGAGAGAGAAGGGGACAGAATACTTATTTGAAGCAATAATGGCTGAAAACTCCCCTAACCTAGGAAAAGAAGAGGACATTCAGGTCCAGGAAGCACAGAGTTCCAAATAAGATGAACCCAAAGAAAGCCACATGAATACATTTATAATTAAAATGGTAAATGTTAAAGAGAGAATCTTAAAAGCAGCAAGAAAAAAACCAAATAATTATATACAAGGAAAACCCCATAGGACTATCAGCTGATTTTCCAGCAGAAAATCTGCAGCCAGAAGGGACTGGCAGGATATATTTAAAGCACTGAAAGTATTCAACCAAGAATACTCTACCTGACAAGATTATCATCTAGAATTGAAGGTTCCCAAATAGGCAAAAACCAAAGGAGTTCATCATTTAACCAACCTTACAAGAAATGTTAAAGGGTCTTAAGTGGGACAGAAAAACTATAACCAGAAATAGTAAAACAAATGAAAGAAAAAAATACCACTTGTGAAGGCAAATACGTAATAAAGGCAGTGGATCAGCCACTTACAAAGCTAGCATGAAGATTAAAAGACAAAAATAATAAAATCAACAGTAACTACAAGAAGTTGTTAAGGGATACACAAAATAAAAGATGTAAAATAGGACATCAAAAACAAAACTAGGGAGGGGGAGTAAAAATGTAGTGCTATTAGAATGTGTTCAAACATAAGCAACTATCTGCCTAAAACAGATGTTCTGTGTTTGTTCCAATATATAGAAACCTTATGGTAACCACAACCAAAAACCTATGATACACAAAAAAGAAAG